CGGTAATGCATAACATCAATTTATTATTGCGTAGAATCTCAAAGATTTTCCAATGACAATATTCATGTCTGAACACAGCGGCCCAATCTGTGAACGTCCTATATATTTTGAATATTTAACCGTTATAATATTTTAAAATAACAAAATAATTCAAAAAATATTAACAGTATATTTAAAATATATATCTCACTTGTTAATAGAATCCATTTGTTGTGTTTCTGAGTCTACTTGATGCGATTGCTTTACGTTTTCGTCGTACTTGAACGGTCGTCAGTACACAGGGGGTCCAACTAAGAGCTGTGTTTCCTGTCGGCGGACAGTTGTTCCACGCGCATGGTTAAACTTTGCTTTAAAACCTTCAAAATAAACAATTGTCGGATCAAAATACTATCAAAATGAAGATAAAAGTGAGACGAATCCATACGTATATGGCCGAAAAGGAGAAAACCAACAATACGAAAGTTATCAAGGAGCAAACGTACTGCATTTTTAAATAGCTGAATAATATAAATTTTGAGAGCGATTTGTGACATTTGTCAACAATACAATTTCGCTTGACTTTCAAAGGTCATATATCGCCAGAATACTGCTGTTCAGTAATGAATTTGGTATCCGTAATTACAATTTCGTACGCTGATTCGAACGATGGTATTTTTTTCCTTGTGGGGTCACTTGGATGCATATTAAACCAGAGATAGTCGGTCTCAGACAGCGATTTAGACGGGCAAGGAATTTTCAGATAGGCAGTGGAAGCATTTGTTTCGGAACAAACTCCTCCCCCCAAATAGCCTGCGAACAGGCTCTCAAGCTGAATTGAGAGCCTGAATCGATGACTAATGAATTTGAATATCTGCCCCGTAACGTTCGTTTTTCCAAATATGGAATGTCTATCCTTATATGGTGTTGTTTACAACTTTCGTGCAAACTAAATTTAGACCGTGCAAACTAAATTTAGACCGTACAGTTTATACTGTTTTTCGAAATATAAGATATTCAAGCAAAGTTTAAATGTTTTAAATACTGTTTTCTCAAATCAGAACATTTCGTGCTTTGAGATAAGATGGCCAAGACCAATTTGATCAGTTAATGTGCTTTTTATGCATAGTGCTTCAGCAGTTGACATATATAGAGCTCAGCGGAAACATATAAATTATAGCATCTGACCAATGAGAATTTCGCGTCACGATTTGAGACGCAGATATTCAAATTCATTAGTCATCGATGCAGGCTCTCAATTCAGCTTGAGAGCCTGTTCGCAGGCTACCCCCCAAACCGTCTGCTGTCACAATTAACTCTTCAAATGGCTATATGATTGTAGTACTAATGTACCATCACTGTGATCTGACAAGTGTATCACTATAGGCAGCCATTAGCTTTTGACCGCTTGCGCTGAGAGACGGACTTGAACCAAGTCTACCCATTAGCCCCAGCGAGTCAACGCTCTTTCGAGCGTCTTGTTATCTACATTTTCATATCGATATTTTGATATGCATGACCAGACATTGTCAATACAACACTTGACGGAAATTCAATCTGGAAGTTGCGGAAGACAGGTAATTCAAAATTATGCATGAATGATGCGGAATTTGTCCTGTTTAGGTATACTAAAGCGCGGCCGTACGGGGGTTTTAACAGACCAGTTTGCCCCAGGGGCGGGGGATTTAATGTTTTTTAACACTTGATTGTGTTAAATTCCCCGCTATGTCCTGGGGGTGGGGG